CTGGAATTTTTCCCTTTTCCCAGTGGATTACTGAGCCCTGGAATTTTCCCCTTTTCCCATGAGCCCTGGAATTTTTCCCTTTTCCCAATGGATTCCTGAGCCCTGGAATGTTTCCCTTTTCCCAGTGGATCAATGACACCATCCTGGTGCCCCTGGTGGAGGAGATGGAGTCAGTGAGCACCCAGCTGAGGAGGATGGGCTGCCCCGAGCTGCAGATCGGAGGTGGGAATTCCAGGGCTGGAATTCATGGAATGTTGAACGGGTGGTATTTCGATTAAATTAATCACTTTTGTCCCTTTCTTTTTCTTTTTTTTCCTTTTTTTCCCCTCTAAATTTACTTAATTATTTTTAGGCAATATTATAAATTTATATATAAATGCATTAAACATATAAATGCATTAAATATATAAATGCATTAAATATATACATGTATTAAATATATACATGTATTAAATATATACATGTGTTAAACATATAAATGTGTGAAATATATAAATGCATGAAATATATACGTGTATTTAATATATAAATATGAACATATAAATACATTAAATATATAGATGTATTTCATATGTAATTATATGAAATATAAATGCATTTCATATCTAAATATATGAAATATATAATTGCATTTCATATATGAATGTATGAAATATAGAAATGCATTTCTTATCTAAATATGTCAAATATAGAAATGCATTTCATAGCTAAATATATGAAATATAGAAATGTATTTAATAGCTAAATATATCAAATGCATTTCATATATAAATGTAGTAAATATAGAAATGCATTTCTTATCTAAATATGTCAAATATAGAAATGCATTTCATAGCTAAATATATGAAATATAGAAATGTATTTAATAGCTAAATATATCAAATGCATTTCTATATTTCTGAAATATAGAACTGCATTTCATAGCTAAATATATCAAATATAGAAATGCATTTCTTATCTAATTATATCAAATATAGAAATGCATTTAATATCTAAATATATGAAATATAGAAATGTATTTAATAGCTAAATATTTGAAATGCATTTCTATATTTCTGAAATATAGAAATGCATTTCATATATAAAGGTACGAAATATAGAAATGCATTTCATATCTAAATATATGAAATACGGAAACTAGAATATAATTATAAATATAATATTATAAATTTACTCCCATTATCATCAATTACTGCCTAATAATGTCAGAAGGCATTTCAGAGGTGAATGTGCTCCCTTTGAAGTCTCCCTGTCTCCACTCCCGTGTCCTTTTCCAAATTATTCCTCCAAATCTCCCAAATTTTCCCAAAAATCCATATTTTTAAATCCCAATGGAGTTTTGTTTTTCAAGCCACAGCTTGAAGGAGCTGCTTCTGTTCCTTCAAATCTGCACCTCCTTAGCCAAGAGCTGCATTTGATGTGGTGCAATTCCAATGAAATTCCCGTTTTTTGGGGTGTTGCTTCATCTCTGGAAAACCAGGATGCCGCTCTCATTCCCGCTTTCCTGCTCGTAATTCCTGTTGCTTCCTTGCAGCTTTTAAATTCTGAGGGAGAGGAGGCTGGGTTGTGACTAAATGGGTGTGGGGAGGGTGATGTCTGATTCCAGGTGATCCCAGAACACTCCAGGTGATCCCTGTATCCCTGTATTCCAGAGGCCAGCATCAGCAGCCTGAAGCAGGCGGCCCTGGTCAAAGCTCCTCTCATCCCGACCCTCAACGCCCTGGTGCAGTACCTGGATCTCACCCCAAACCAGGAATATCTGGTGGAGAGGATCAGAGGTAGGTGCTGGCCCCATCCCAAAAAATTCCAGCCTGGATCTCCCCCAAAACCAGGAATACCTGGTGGAAAGGATCAGAGGTACATGCTTGCCTCATCCCAAACCGGGAATATCTGGTGGAGAGGATCAGAGGGATGTGCTGACCCCATCCCAAAAAAATTCCAGCCTGGATATCCCCCCAAATCAGGAATATCTGGTGGAAAGGCTCAGAGGGATGTGGTGTGTCCTCATCCCAAACCAGGAATCTCTGGTGGCTTTAAAGGCTCAGAGGGATGTGGTGTCCTCATCCCAAACCAGGAATACCTGGTGGAGAGGATCAGAGGTACATGCTGGACTCATCCCAAAAAATTCCAGCCTGGATTTCCCCCCAAATCAGGAATATCTGGTGGAAAGGATCAGAGGTATGTGCTGGCCTCATCCCAAAAAAATTCCAGCCTGGATCCCCCCCCAAATCAGGAATACCTGGTGGAGAGGCTCAGAGGGATGCGGTGTGTCCTCATCCCAAACCAGGAATATCTGGTGGAAAGGCTCAGAGGTACGTGCTGGCCTCATCCCAAAACAATTCCAGCCTGGATCCCCCCCCAGATCAGGAATACCTGGTGGAGAGGATCAGAGGTATGTGCTGGCCTCATCCCAAAAAATTCCAGCCTGGATCTCCCCCCAAACCAGGAATACCTGGTGGAATACCAGGGGGTTGGAACTGGGTGGATCTTTAAGGCCCCTTCCTACCCAAATCATTCCATGATTCCATGATTTCCTCTGTGCTCAGGGTGCCAAGGGCTGGATCAAAAAGTGCCGGACTAAAAAGTGCCGGACTAAAAAGTCCTGGATTAAAAAGTGTTGGACTAAAAAGTGCTGGACTAAAAAGTGCTGGATTAAAAAATACTGGACTAAAATGTGCTGGATTAAAAAGTGCTAGACTAAAAAATCCTGGACTAAAAAGTACTGGATTTAAAAAGTGCTGGATTAAAAAGTCCTGGACTAAAAAGTCCTGGATTAAAAAATCCTGGATTAAAAAGTCCTGAATTGAAAAGTCCTGGACTAAAAAGTCCTGGACTAAAAAGTCCTGGACTAAAAAGTCCTGAATTAAAAAATCCTGGATTAAAAAGTCCTGAATTAAAAACTCCTGGACTAAAAAGTCCTGGATTAAAAAGTCCTGAATTAAAAAGTCCTGAATTAAAAAGTCCTGAATTAAAAAATCCTGAATTAAAAAGTCCTGGATAAAAAAGTCCTGGATTAAACCCCCTCACAGCCAAAACTCACCCTGTAGTTTTCCCTCCCTGCCCCGATCCCCTCCCAGCCATTCCATGGGTTGAACTATCCCTATTTATGCACCAGAAACGTGCATTAAACCTTTCAAACCGGCCTGAGACCTCCTTTTATCTGCCTTGAATCCCAAAAAACCTCCCAAATGTTGCTTCCAGAGCTTTCCCAGGGCGGCTGCATGAGCTCCTTCCGATGGAACGGAGGAGGGGACTTCAAGGGCCGCAAGTGGGACACGGACCTGCCCACGGACTCCTCGGTGAGATCCCACACACACCTGGATAAGGGGGGATTGGAGCTGCTGGTTTTTTGGGATAGGCTTTGGAGGGAGCAGCCAGGGAGGCTTTGGGGCATGTGGTGAAGTGGGAACAGCAGAGGAACGGATGGGATGAGCTTTGAAGGAGGAAAAGTGGGAAAAACGGGGTCAGGGAGCCCTGGGAATGTCAGGGGAGCTGGGATCCACTGGGATCCTGCCCTGGGATCCTCGGGGATTCATCCCCAGCTTCCAGACGTGGAAGTGGTGCTGCTTCAGGGCCTCGATCCTGACCCGAATCTTGAGGGGGAAAAAAACGGGGAAAATGGGAAAAGGGGCTCCCTGGGAACACGAGGGGATCCCTGGGAATGGGTATCTGTTCCACCTGGCAATTCAGGGCCTTGATCCAGTCCTGCTTCTGAGGGAAAAACATGGAAAAATGGGGGAAAAACGGTGCCGCTTCAGGGCCTCGATCCTGACCTGATTGTGGGGGGAAAAACAGGGAAAATTGGAAAAGGGGCTCTCTGGGAACACAGGGGAATCCCTGGGAATGGGGTCAGGGATCCATAGGACCCCTCAGCACTGGGATCTGCTCCACCTGGCAATTCAGGGCCTTGATCCAGTCCTGCTTCTGAGGGAAAAACATGGATAAATGGCGGGAAAATGGTGCCGCTTCAGGGCCTTGATCCCGACCTGATTGTTGGGGGAAAAACTCAGGGAAAATGGGAAAAGGGGATCTGTGGAAACACAGGGGGCTCCCTGGGAATGGGGTCAGGGATCCATGGGACCCCTCACCACTGGGATCTGCTCCACCTGGCAATTCAGGGCCTTGATCCAGTCCTGCTTCTGAGGGAAAAACATGGAAAAATGGGGAAAAGCGGTGCCGCTTCAGGGCCTCGATCCTGACCTGATTATGGGGGGAAAAAACAGGGAAAATGGGAAAAGGAGCTCCCTGGGAACGCAGGGGGATCCCTGGGAATGGGGTCAGGGATCTGCGGGACCCCTCAGCACTGGGATGTGGAAGCTCCACCTGCCAATTCAGGGCCTTGATCCAGTCCTGCTTCTGGTGGGAAAAACATGGAAAAATGGGGAAAAAACAGGGAAAATGGGGGAAAAAAACGGGAAAAAACACAGGGGTCTCCCTGGGAATGGGGTCAGGGTTTGGTGTCGGCAGAGGTGGGTTTTGGGTTCCTCCCCTGCTCAGCCAAACCCTGACCCGCAGAACTCAGTCCTTTAGGCCCTTGGCTGCTCCTAAGGCCTGGGGTTAGGCCAGGATTGCAAGCCCGGCCTATCCCCCGCTGTGCTCGGCTCCTGGGGTGGTGGCAGGGGTGTTCCCTCCCTTTTTGGGGCCATCCCAGTGAGCTTTGGGTCCTTTCCCCAGATCCTCATGCACGTGTTCTGCACCTACCTGGACTCCAGGCTCCCTCCTCACCCCAAATATCCCGACGGCAAAACCTTCACCTCCCAGCACTTCATCCAGAGCCCGGATAAACCAGGTACCTGCCTCCCCTTGGGAAGAGGGGGAAAGCCATCTTTTATCCCTCTGGGATCACTCTGACATTCCCACTGTCATTCCCAGACACTTCCAACGAGAACCTGTTCTGCATCTACCAGAGCAGCATCAACCCGCCCCACTACGAGCTCATCTACGAGTGCCACGTCTACAGCCTGCCCAAGGTATGGGATGGGATGGGATGGGATGGGATTCTCCTGCTCCCAGGAATCCTCTCCAGCTCCAGCTCGGGGTGTTGGAACTCCTAAACTCATTTATGGACTCTTTACATCAGCCTGGCCCAGCCCGCTCTAAGCCCAGCGTGCCAATTTATTGTAAATTAAATTTACATTTAAATGTAATTCAGAATTTTTTAACCCAAATGCCCCAATCCCTGATGTGCTGTTGGTTCTCTGCCAATTTATTCTAAAATTAACATTTTTTAAACACCAAATCCCCCTAGTCCCTGATGTGCTGTTGGTTTTCTGTCGACTTATTCTAAAATTAGAATTTTTTAAAGCCCATATCCCCCAATCCCTGATTTGTTGCTTTTTTGCCAATTTATTGTAAATTAAATTTATATTTAAATGTTCATTAGAATTTTTTAACCCAAATCCCCCAAACCCTGATTTGTTGCTTTTCTGCCAATTTATTCTAAAATTAGAATTTTTTATCACAAATGCCCCAATCCCTGATTTGTAGGTTTTCTCCCGATTTGTTGTAAATTAAATTTAAATTTAAATGTAATTTGGAATTTTTTAACTCAAATGCCCCAATCCCTGATTTGTTGGTTTTCTGCCAATTTATTGTAAATTAAATTTCAATTTAAATGTAATTCAGAATTTTTTAACCCAAATCCCCCAATCCCTGATTTGTTGCTTTTCTTCTAGTTTATTGTAAAATTACCATTTTTTTAATCCCAAATGCCCCAATCCCTGATTTGTTATTTTTCTGCCAATTTATTGTAAATTAAATTTACATTTAAATGTAATTTAGAATTTTTTAACCCAAATCCCCCCATCCCTGATTTGTTGCTTTTCTGCCAATTTATTGTAAATTAATTTTAAATTTAAATGTAATATAGAATTTTTTAACGCGAGTTCCCCATCTCTGATCTCTTGGTTTTCTTCCAATTTATTCTAAAATTAAATTTACATTTAAATGTAATTTAGAATTTTTTAACCCAAGCCTCCCATCCCTGATTTGTTGGTTTTCTTCCAATTTATTGTAAAATTACCATTTTTTTTAACCCAAATCCCCCAATCCCCGATTTGTTACTTTTCTGCCAATTTATTGTAAATTAAATTTAAATTTAAATGTAATTCAGAATTTTTTAACCCAAATGCCCCAATCTCTGATTTGTAGGTTTTCTAGTAATTTACTGTAAATTAAATTTAATTCCAGGGCAGGAACAACATGTTCCACACCCTGCTCATGTTCCTGTACATCATCAAGACCAAGGAATCCGGGATGCTGGGGTAGGTTCCAGAGAAAAGGTGGGATAGGGCTGGATAAAAAGCGGGAAATCGCATCGGGATGGTGATTAATGGGGTTTAAATCATCTGATTAATGGGGTTTAAACCATTAAACAGCAGCTTTCCCATCCCGTGGGGTAATTCCCACCCCTTTGGGTTTTCCAGGCGTGTCAATCTGGGATTGTCGGGAGTCAACATCCTGTGGATCTTCGGGGACTGACGGATCCCTGCTCCGAGACATCCACGTGGTCGGTTTAAACCCGGATCATTTAAGCTCAGCTTAAAGGGGAAGCGCCTGGAATTCCTGCCTGGATTTCTTCCCGAGGCATCCCATGGAATATTTCCCCTGGGAACGAGCTCCAGGCAGGATTAGGATTCTCCTGCCCGCTCCTCGCCTGAACAGCCCGGCTTAAGCTGAGCTTAACTGATCCAGACTAAACCTGGGAGGGTCGTGCACAGCCACGGATGATCCAACACTTGGGAAAGACCCTGGGACGCTCCAGGATCCAAGAAATCCCAGCTGGGCACGAGGAAATCCAGACCAGGGGGGGTTTAGACTCGGCTTTGCTTTGTTTTATTATAAAAACCCCACAACTTTTGCTCCTGGTCGTTGGTGTCATCATGTCTCTGACCCCACAGGGTGTCCCTGTAAATCAAAAAACCCCCTTTTGACTCGCTGGGTTCAGCAAATCCCAGTTTTTTTACTTATATTTTAAGTTTTATTTTCTTTTTCTTTTAAGTTAATTGTTTAGTTCCAAACCAGCTCGGCCTCCCAAGGGGTGCCTTGGGATTTAATTCTCCTGCTCCCCTTTTGTTCATTAATTACCTCTTTTTTTAGGGACTGGGATGTGGCTGGGGCTGGGAAGCCAAACTTTTTTGGGGGGGAAAACCAAAATTTCAGATTTGTTTCCAAAAAGGCCTCAATTGATGTTTGTTTGCCAAATTCCCACTTCAGTTATTTCGGGCAAAGGTGAATTTTGGGAGCGAATGTAGGACCAAAAACCCGTGGGATCACTGGAGTGTGTTTTTTATGGAGGTGGGAAAAGAGGGATTTGTGGAACTTTGTGCTGTTTTTTGGGGTGTGAACTGATGGGTTTTGGTGACTCTCTTCTGGGGGACCCGGGTTTTTCCAAGGAATGGGACCAAAGTGGCTCGTTTGGTTCCTGAATTAAATGAGATCGTTTTATCAAAGGCTTTTGGGGGTTTTTCCTTGGGTTCAGCATCCCCAAACCCATCCCTGGGCCAAGGGGGGGATGTTCCAGGCCCAGGTTTTGCC